TTGACTAAGAATTTTAATTTTTTTGACTTCAATTGAGTTTGTTGTAATACAAAATAACTTTGCAATATTGTTTGTTGTTATTTTATACAGCTTTTTATATAAAACCTTTTAACTTTTATATAAAAGATAGAAAAGATAATTTTATATAAAAAATTTTATATAAAAGATAGAAAAGATAATTTTATATAAAAGATTTTATATAAAAGATAGAAAAGATAATTTTATATAAAAGATTTTATATAAAAGATAGAAAAGATAATTTTATATAAAAGATTTTATATAAAAGATAAAAGAACCTTTTATTTTCAGTATGAATGTATTAGTATTAATTAACAATTAAAAAAATAATTTGGTTTAAAATATTAACTCACAAATAACACTGATAACAGTTTATAACTTATATAAAATAATATTTTATAATTAGAAGTACGCTGGAACCTGTTTATGTTGAGTTCTTGATTCTGAGTACCCAGAAGGAAATACTGGGTCCAAGTCCGGGTACCCGGCAGCAGATTCATTTTTAAAAGTTTTGAATAAAAGCATGTGAAATCTCTACTGCTGAACTGTTTTTACAAAATAACACTGATTAATTTGCACTAACTAAGTTTACAAAATAAATCAAGTTTTTTTTTAATAAACAATAGGGATGCACCGAACATTCGGCAAAACTTAATGTTCGGTTCGGTCGAACCTTGACAAATGTTCGGCCAAACATTTTCTAAAAATGCTAATTTGGAAATTATAACATCATCAAATCATCATAACTCAGCCTAAATAGCTACAGTACCAATAGATATGGCTTTTTATTGAAAACCCGATTCTTATCTATTACGCATAGTAGGTAAGAGTATGTTTTTCAATAGAACATGTGAGTACATTAGATTTACATCAAGTTTTTTGAATTTAGAATAAATTTAGTTTGATCGCATGTATTACTTAAAATCAAATGTATTACGTAAAACTAGTTTACATTACTTAGAAAAAATAGTACTAGTAAAAGTGTAAAATGAAAAATCCTTTCAATTGAGCAATATTTTAGTTAATTTTATCCTTTTACATACAATAATAATAATTAAACTTAACTTAGTAGTTATAAAATTCATGCAAGAAGCAAATTTTTTATTTTGGAAAAATCGGAAAAATGTAATAATATAAAATAAACTTAAAATAACAGATTGAAACGCCCGTTTTTAGTGGCGCCTATTGCTGCTGTGTTGAAAAAAAAATTTTCCTCGTAATAAAACTCAACTAGTTGAACTGAGAAACTTTCTGAAAACATTCATTGAATTTTGGATAAGCTGGTTTTGCAATTACTTCATTTGTGTTATGTACTGAAGGTTCGTCAAAATCAGAGGATTCAAGTTCTACTTTGTTGTATTTCTTGCATCTGTTCATTTATCCAATTTTTTATTTTATCCTTGACTTCCTTTTGATATGTCAATTTATACTAGGGTCACAAAAAGTGGAAAGAAAATATTTATCGTGTAAAAATGGACCTAATCTTTTGTCTACTGAGCCTCACATACTAATACTTGATTAAAAAATTATTTCAGAGCCATAATTGAAGGAATAACATCTGACAAATATGATTCCCATTTACTAAAATTAATGGTTAAAGTTTTAAATGGTTCTAAAATATGCAACACTTTATCTAATAAGCCTCATTGAAATGAATTTAGTGTTGATTGGGTAGGATGATCAGCTGTATAAGTTGCCAAAGGAACTCTTTGATCAAGCATCCTTTCAATCATATTTGTTCTATTATTCATATTTGTGTTTATTATAGAACTGTTCCATCTTGTAGTAAGATCTTGGATTAACCTGTGCTTATTTGTACCAAGTTGTTCCTGAATTGCTTCTAATTTTGCTGCTGCTGTTGGCGAATGGTGAAAATGAGTTGCCAGAAAAGCTAAGTAGAAGCTAAAATATCCTTAACAGATTTTTGAGACAAAATTGAGTCATGTATACATAACTGTATTGTATGTATAAAACATGGCATTGACCGTCTCTTACACCAACTACCATATTTGCGGCATTATCTCGTAAAACAATAAGCATTTATGTAAATACTCACTTATGTTTTTTCCTGTGTGACTTTCTGGAAAACGCATAACTCTGAGTACTGCTCTGTGCTGGGAAAATTCATTACTGAGCCAGTGTGCTGTCATGCTTATGAAGGCAACATTTAAACTATTTGCTGTCCAAATGTCAGTTGTAAGAAAGATATGAATGGCAGCAGATATATTACTCTTGATAGAACTAAATAGTTTATTATATATTTGTGGAATAATGTTTTCACTAAAATATCTCCTACTAGGTATTTGATAATTAGGACACAGCTCTTCAATTAATTTTCTAAAACCAAGATCTTTTACAATCGAATATGGTTGAATGTCCAACGCCATTATTTCTCCAATGTGATTGTGAATTTTGATAGCTCTATGATCATTTACATCACACAGCTTTTTTTTTATTAAGACTCTCCAGTAATGTTAACTGTTTTTTTAATTCAGAATCACTTGATGTAGCGGCTATAGTTGATGTAGATGTTTCAATTTTTTTTTTGTCAGACTCTTTTTCAGCTATTTTATATTCTGCAAAGTGCTTGTTTTTTAAATGACGTCTAATTGCACTAGTGGTGAATGTTTTAGGACAATTCCCACCTCTAGAAAGTAATACTTTGTATAGTAGGCAAATACAAAAATGATTATCTTTCTTTGAAACTTCAAAATATTTCCAAACAGTACTTTTAAATTTTATTTTTGAAGACATTTTTTTATGCTTCTAAATAATTAAAAATTTATACTAATTATAAATAAAGTTTAACCAAAAAATATAATTTTAAAACATGCCAGATACTATGTTTTAATATCTTATGTTATACCTTTATTTTTATTAGCTAACTTTTATATTTGTAGAATAGAGTATAAACTTAGCTTAAATGTTATAACATATAAGCTAAGCTTTTACTATAGTCTACAAATATAAAAGTTAGCTAAACCTTAACATTAACAATTAACTATTAAAATAAATCCTTAACATAAAATATTATTTTAAGAAGTTTAATTTATAAATTACAATATAAATTTATTATATTATAATTGTTAATTATTTATACTCATTATTAATAAGTTATACTCATTATTAATAAGTCATACTCATAAATTTATTTTTTTATTTTTCAAATAAAAACTTCTTAACATTTTTACTTCTTTACACTACATTGTAGTGTAGTGACTACAAACAATCATTCAATAATAAATTTATTTTTGATAGTTATTTAAAGTTTCTTCACATATTTTCAAAATAAATCTAATGTTTTAAAAAACACATTAAATTTTTAAAAATATAGTTTTCACTTCGAGTTCAAATTGTTTTTGACATAAACCAATGTTTATATTTGAAAATAGAAAAAAGTTTGGTATTCGGTTCGTGTTTTCGGCCAAACTTTCATGGCCGAACCTTTTAATGGCTAATATGCACTAATTTAAAAATTATGGAAAATAAAAGATTAAAAGGCAAAAAAAGAAAAAGAAAAAAAAGAGTAGACTTCCTTGACTGAAGTGTGAATAAAAAAAATATATATAAGTCAGACACATCTATATTGAGTAAATAAGGCTTTGTGGTTATCAACTCCATAACATTTTTACTTATACCAAGAATACTTATTAATTGAAGTTTAAATAGAAAGCAATCCTGTTTATAATATTTTGACACAATTTAAAGTAACACTTCAACAGATAGTTACAGCTCTTAAGGTTACTGTTTATTAAAATTTTCTTTTAAGATACTTGGTACCAGTTATTGAAACAATATGGCAGATTCTGGGCACCCAACAAAACAGTCAAAAATACCGGATCCCCAGGTCCGAGTCAGGTATATGGCATATCACTATTTATAATACTAATATTTTCAATTAAATAACTTTTTGAGTTTAAAACATCTATTAAAGTTGATAAACTAAAAATCTTAAAAAAAAGTTTATAATATAAATACACTTTTGAAAAAATAAATAACAAAAGCCATTGTAGAATATCAAAACTTTGAGAGAAAAAAAACTTATAAAAACAAAGTTACATTTAGATATAAAAGTTGCAGAAATAAACTTTAAGAGCAACATACCACTTGAATGTAACTAATTTCTCTTAAATAAAATTAACAAGAAATTTTAATTTTCAAAACTTCAAAATGGCTTGAATAGCAACAGATTATTAATTACATCAAAATTTTATAATAAGAACTTCAAAAAAAGTAAATTATTTGTAGCAAATCAATTTTCTAGAACATATACACATCCAATCTTAAGAACATATACACATCCAATCTTAAGAACATATACACATCCAATCTTAAGAATATATACACATCCAATCTTAAGAACATATACACATCCAATCTTGAGTATTAAAAAAACACTTGGAAAATAAAAAAGAAGAGGGATCAAATTTTTCTCAGACACCCAATGATGTCAAGTATTACAACAAAGAAAAATATGAGCTGAAAGTTCTTGTTTGACTCACTATTTAGAAACATCACAACAATAGTAATTTTGTATTTAGCTGCATCACGCTACACTAAATTAGTACCAGGTTGGCTACAAAATTAAGAAAAGATGCCTGATGCTCATCCTACCTTTTGTTCTTAAACAAGAAAATGTACACAAATAGCTGAGCTAATAATGTTTACTAGAAACAAGTATCGGTTATTGCCTTAAAAATATGTAATTCAAGGTCATACAAACATTAGCTTCAATGAAATTGAAGATTCAAAAAAATATGCTATTACAGAGTTAAATGACTTTTTTTTTTCTATCAGTTTGTAGTTATAATTTTGCTTGTAGTTTTTATAAACTTTTTTTTGGGATATTTTCTGAAATAAAATTTTACTAAATAAGCCAGTTGTATGAATTTTTATTTTAACCATAATAATAATAATAACAATAATTAACAGCAGCATTATAATTATTTTCACCATCATCATCATATAAAAAAGACTTTCACCTTTTTAGATAAGAGTCACACTTTAGAGCAACAAGCTTCTTTCCTTCTTCAAGATATTTATTGTAAATAGTTGAGTTAAGAAGCTATAAATAATATTAAACTTATAATATTTAACATGATAACGATAAAAACCAAATTTTTAATGAACTTTGATATAGAAGTTTGTGACAAAAATAATATTAACTAATTTAAAACTATCAATCATAAAATAGAAAATTCACTTAAAACAAAAACTTATGAGTTTACTCGTAATAACATAATTTAAAAAAAAATTAATTTCAGTCATCCATTATAGTTTGATTATAAAGTAATTCTATAATCTTCATACTTATATATGATTATAATAGATTATAGAAGATAATAGTAAACTCATAAGAGATACAAAATTATAATAGATTATAGAACATAATAGATTATAATAGATTATAGAAGATAATGGCTCGTAATAGGAAAAAAAAAAAAAAAGATTGTATGAGATATTAAACAGATTATAAGAGATTCTAGATTGGAAAGGATTCAAGTAAACAGTTTACAAAAATATAGGATTAAAAAATATTGGTAAAATAACCTTTAAACTGTCAAGCTCAGTAACTTCTGTATCCAATCTTAAAACAAAAATTACCATTTATTAAATTCATGTATAATATATTGTATATAAAAAAATTATCATAAATAAATGATATTTAAATTTCTTCACAAATCATTAAGAAAATTAGCAACAATTAAAAGATACAAATAAAATATTTATAAAAAAAAAAGTATATTAAACATTTGTAGAATCTAAAACTAAGTTCATTTGTGGAGATAAAAAGTTGAGAGATAAGAGATAAGAGACTCAAATAAATTCTATTATTTTCAAATGATAACAACAGCTAAGAAATGATTCTAAACTAATTTACTTGTCCTCAACCACAAGAAACTAAACTTGTATTAAAAAAAGGCAGAAGAGCTGTAAATAAAAAAAGTGAAAGGCAATTGATAAACAATATACCAGTTTCAGATGTTTTATTACTTATTTCAACACTTCACATATTACCCATGTCAACATTAAGTATATTACTCAGAGGTTAAAAAATAAAAAACATAACATGGTTTCTTAAAGACATGGTACTCCATTTTTTAGGATCATAATCATTTGGAACATCAGCACCACGACCTTAAATTCAAGGACAATGTATGGTTTGCAATCCCAGATCCTGAAATCTCCCTTTTAACTTTAAAAACCTGAAATATCCCTAATAACTTTAAAAACCTGAAATTCTATGGATTATTTTAGAAATATCCTGGGATTAGGAGATTTATAAAACTACAATAAACACTTTTAAATTGAGTCAAATAAAACAAAAGTATCAATTCAGTATGAAATTTAGTTATTCATACATTGCAACATTTTCATTATCAATTAATAAGTTTTAGTATGTTTAACCAATCAATCTAACATATTGTAACAATTACTAACATGTTTATTAGGAAACAGTAAAAAGACTATAAAGAAATTATAGTAATTACAAAGCTACAAAGTAGTAGTATAAATAATAATAATAATAATAATAATAATAATAATAATAATAATAATTATTATTATTATTATAACAATAATAATAACAATGAAACCAATAATTAATTTATGTTGATTTAATTATATTGTGTTTTTATGTTAATAGGTTTATTTAAATTTAAGGAATTTTAAATTTTTATAAGAAAGTTGAAATATATAATGAGTTCTTATATTTTATTTGATTTATCAAATTAGAATACTATGTCAAATTTCATAGAGTTTAACAGCAAAACCCCTATATGGAAACATTTTCTGTGCAAAAAAGAAAGTGACTATGTGAATTCAGCCATTGCAAAAAAATAATGAAAACTATTGGCAGATCAACAAAAGTTCTTCATACACATCTACTTCAGTTGCATAAAATTAAATAAAAATTGAAAAGATTGAAAGAAGAACCACAGAGTAAAAAAAGTAAAATTAATTTATATTTTTAATCAAACATAAATAAAAAAGACAATTTTTGTGAAAGGCTTATAAAATTAACAGCTAAAGATAGGATATATCTTTCAATGTAAAATGCACTTTTATTGATATCATCTTGGGCAGGTTTTGAGGCTGTCAACATACCTAAATTTACTTATATTGTTAAAAAAATAGTAGTAGATTTCTTGTAATATAGAAGGTATAATAAAAAATGGTCATAATTTAAAGTGGTCATGACCACACAAGTGGTAATTTTAGGGGTTGTCAAGGGTGGTCAAATGATGTCTAAATGGTTTTTAAATAAGATGGGGCATGTTGTATGTTTAAATATAGGTAATTGTGGTCAGGTAATTCAAATCTGGGCATACTCAGTCTTTAGAAGTAATCATAACTGTTCAAATGATCATTTCAGGGTTGGTCAAGGAAGGTTCTTGGTTAAGGGAGGTCCTTTCAATTAGATAGACACGTTATATGTCTAAATATAGGTAATTACAGCCAGCGAATTCAAATCTGGGCATATTCGGCCTTCAGGAGTGGTCATGACTGAAGTGGTTAAGAGTGGTCCTGGAATATACCAATAGTTTTTAACTATATGAGACATATTGTATATCTAAATATAGGTAATTGAGATCAAGGAATTCAAATCTGGGCATATTTGGTCTCTTGGAGTGGTCATAACCACACAGGTGGTCATTTTAAGGGTAGCCAACAGTGGTCCTGGGATGTCTTGATGGTTTTTCAATTAGTTAATTGAGGTTAGGAAATTTAAACTTGGGCATATTTGGTTTCCAAATATTTTGGTTTTTGTGAGAGCAAGAATGAATGATAGAAAAACTTTGCCCAAGCTTAATCCAAAAAAAGATTTTAGTTAACTTTTATATTAAATAATAAGTTAACACTTTTTAAAAGTATATTATTTCCCCATTAGATTGTGCTCCAAATAAGGCAATTAAAATATTTTGATTTTGTGTTTATCTATTTAGACAATTCTTAAGCTCAAATAAAACTTAATTTTAATAAACAATAAAAATAAATAATTTAATTAAAATAATTTAAAACCACTTAATAATATTAATTTTTTATGTCTAAATTAACACTAATATGATATTAACAAAATATTCTAGCATGGGAAAAGACCTTTAATGTTTGCAATAAACTGCAAACATCAGAGATATTTTCTACACCTTTATTCTAGCCTTTTGACACCATAAACAAAATGGATTTATTGTCTGCTTCTTAAAAAAATGCAACAGCAGTAAAACATCTGACCCTATATATAACTAATGTAACTTACATAAAATCATTTTTAATATTGTTAACAACTTCTTCGCAACAGTAAGGTATTAAATCTTCAGAAATGTAGTGCTTTATATTTGTAAAGTGTCTAAACAAAAGAAAAAGAAACAAAATTTAAATATTCAGGAAAAATTAAAGATCAAAACTTTTAAACAATGTAATGTAAAAATGTATAAAAAAAGCAATAAATTAAAAAAACATAATTATAGCAAAATTTATTCAAATAAAAATATGACACAAATAAAAAGTTTGTACTACAATAAGAAAAAAGAAAATGTTACTCCTTTTTCACTATCAGTAACAAAAAACAAAATGTTATTCCTTTTTACCTGTCAGTAACAAACACAAGGCATTCTTTTGTTCTTTTTGAAGAGTATCGAAAAAAGCTATCCAGAAGTTGGTTCTAATTGAATCAGAATTTTTTTTTATTAAAAGAATTTTACAGAAGGTGTTTTATTGTTAATACTCAAATTTTTTTACTGACCTTTAAATTTTTAATCACATCTAATCCAACAAAAATATTTGTTCTAATAGGGGTGATTTTTCTGAATGAGCCTTGGTAATAAATTAAAACAAAAATAAACATTCATTAAGACAAGAACTAGATAACAAGTAGACTAGAACTAGAAAACACACAAAAATATTTTAACAAAAGAAATACAAAAACAAATAAGAAAATAATAAACTACATTTTGTTGCATTACGATTTCCATTTGAAAAATCAAGAAGAGGTTTTTTTGTATGGCTTAAGAATGGACAAAGTGCATAGAGAAAGTTTTTGTCTACCACAACAAAATCATCAATTCCACAAACATTTGAGGTAGAATTGAACAATGATACATTCTCAATCTTGATGGTTACATGCGGCTGTTCAAAAAGCCAGCCAAGATGTAATAGAAGTGCCAAATTCAGTAAATTAAATGCATCATTGAAAATAAGCATATTTTGACTGCAGTAGAGTTCAAACAAATAACGAAGAGGAGTTTGATACTTTTTAAGCTGAAAAGCATACCTATCAGCCATACTGAAAAATTCCACAACCCAAGGTATAGTAATAAGCAAATGATGGTTGTTATATGCTTCTTCAATAAAATTTTCAAGTTTAAATGATTCTGTAACAGTATCACGATTTTGAAAACAGTCCAAGTTATCATATGTAACATTTTTATATGGTAAGAACACTATTAATCCCAAAAACTTCGCCAGTAGTCGTAATTCCAAAATAACAACTTGTATATCTTGCCATAAACGCTTTGCGTAGTCAGATTCAAAAAGCACATCTGAATGGTTTTCTATACCGAATGATTTCCTATTCAAATCTGTAATATGTGCAAATAAAATATGGACTAAATATTTGTTAAAATAAAAACTGTCAACAATTTGAACAAATTTATAAAAAAATAATTCTGCCAAAGAAAAACTAGGAGTTGGGCAAGGATTTGACGTAAGCAATGGTTGAGTTAATCTATCTTGCAAGCTTTTAAACTTTTCTGGATACCGCTTCTTTAACTCTAACAATGTACTATCTGAGGTGTCTATTTCAAAGTGTTTACTACCAACAGTATCTCTGCACATTTCTAAAAACTGGGCTATAAATAGTTTAGCAAACTCATAATAAGTATTGAGTTCATTGTCACAAATCATAATTTGAGATACTCTACTATTAATTAATTTCTCTAAGTTAAAATCAGGATTACTGTGTTTCTCTTGCCATTCTCTTACTAAACCATAAAATGCGTCACGTTGCTTAGAAAATGAATAAAAATGCTTATCACTTTTAAAAGATGTTCTTTTTTCAGAATCAACTTGAAAAGGAATCCCAGTTGCAGATAACTGCAAAAAATGTGAGCTGTAATCAATAGAGATATTATTATCGGAATCAATATTTTCTTGTAAATACTTTAAAAAGTCATAACTAGCAAAAGCATTCACTCGTGTATTTTCAGCTAACAACTGCAGTGTTTTTATATCAAAATGGACTAGTAAGCTCTTTAACTTACAAAGGCTATTTACAGCAAAGTAAACACACCCAGCTAAATTATCAAATGGAAAAGAAAACTTGCTTTGTTTAGTTTGTATTGTAAGAGTTGAAAATAGAAAAAAAAACTCAAGAGTAAAATTGGTAACCAGATTTTGTGAACATACAAATATATAAAGCTCCACAACAATGTTTAACGCCCATGTGTTATGCACATCTTTTTCTGATAGTTCAGGTGGCAACAAAAAACATTTGGAGAACTCTTTATTTACTTCAGAGTTGGTTACTGATTGGAGTAGAGTCGAAGTCCTTGAAAAACGCTTATCATCAACAAAAAGCTTGTTCATGGATTCATCAACAACTGCTAAAGAGTTACTAGTATCAAAACAAGAAGAGTTCACAAGTTCTGGTGAAGAAGAGTTTCCTATTGCAACAGGTGTTGTTGTAATTCTACGAGGACTAAAAATATAATATTAAAAAAAATTAATACTTAACTAGTAAATAATAAACATGAATATTATGTAAATAATTAATGTAATAATTATAAATAATAAATTTTTTTTTTTTTTTTTTTTTTAATTCACCTCCTCAAGGCCGAGAAGGCCACTACAGACGACGAGGCTACTTATCATAGATGAGTTTTTGACTTTATGAAAATCCCGGAAATTTTTTTCTTTGAAAATCCCGGAAAATCCCGGAAAGTCATTTTCATGAAAATTCCGGAAAATCCCGGAAAAATTTAGGGTCAATAAATTGACGAAGGTATGTGGGTAAATTCTGGAACGTTGGTAAAGGGATAAATAAAGAAACTAAAAACTACTCATTAATTATGTTTCTCTAAAATGAAATATAATATCTCAGTTTTAACATAAGCAACCTGCAAAGCGCAATAATTTCTTTATATTTAAAATATAAAATGTAAGACAATGGAATAAATGTCAGGAATCAATACTTTTTTTTCTTATAATTTTCTGTTGTGAAGCATTCGTCAGCTTTTCTTTTTCTGCACTTTTTTGCATGATCAATAATAGATTCTTTAACTTTTTTGCACTGTTCATGTAAGGCAATTTTTTTTTTCCACGTTGAATTTATATTTAAAAATCTTTCTTCAACTTGACAACATTATGCACATGATGACAAATATCACCATCAATATCAAGTAAGTGAGGAACTGCTTTTCTTAACCTTGTTTCAAACCCACTGAATTTTCCTCTCATATAATTGGTAGAATCTGATAAATTGGAAACAAGATTACTTAATGGAATTGCATCTTTGTTAAATAAATGAATAACAGCATTAAAAAGACTTTCGGCATTTACCGTAACAAGCGATAATGACGCGTAGTGCTTTAATACAACTTTATTAGTTTTGTCGCAAAAATAAGCTACGAGTATACTGAGAACCTTCTCATTTTTTGCCGAGAAACACTCATCTATGTTAAGGGAGAACATTTTTATTTTCATATCAAAAACAAGCTCAGCATGAAAAGCTTCACCTAATCCTTCTCGAAGCTTATACGAAGCAGTTGTTCTGAACATTTTCAAATTTTTTAAAACATGATGATCTTTAGACATTTCCTTTGCGTATTCCATCATATGGGATGTTAAAGATATTGGAAGATTGTGTTCACAAATAAACGCGAGTGTCATAGCTTCTGCATTTGATGTCCTGTCTCTAAAACTTACAATAGGTTTAATGGTAGGCTTTACTCTCTTTGTGCAAGTACTGCCAATATGCACGTTATCCAGAGTGCCATATGGCAATATACACATATCTGTTTTTTTTAAATTAGTAAAAAATGATGACGGTATGGCTTCGTTGGACTTAATCATTGCGCAGTTTTGACGATGCATTTTAGACTTTGAGTGGCTGAGTAAAGATTTTTTACCTTCACTTCCATAATAAAAGTCTTTATTACACATTGTACATTGTACCTAAAACATCAAATCAAATAATATATAACTATGATGAAGTTATATATTTCAGTGTTCAGTTAGAGAATAAACTTACCGCTTCGGCTTTATTTATCTTTGTAATATAGGCTGAATAATGCTCATCATTTTAGTCTTTCTCTTGAAGCCAATTCCAGCGAAACTTGTTTTTAATATTTTTGTCTATCTCAGAAATGTCAGATAAACTCTTAACTTGCATTTTCTTTTCTTTCTTCTTGATAGTAATTTTTAACGACAAGATCTTTTGCAAACGTTTAAAACGGAATTTACATCATTTAACTTCTTAAGAAAAAAAATTTCTAATATTCGAAAAAGTTAATTTGAATGAATTAAAAAGAAAAAAATTTTTTGAAAAAATTGATCTTGTGAAAATTTTATTTATAGAAAACATAATTGCTTAAATGCAAAGCATGTTGTATTTAAAATTATATATAACTTTTTACAAATCAATAGCAAAAAGCATCCGGAATTTCCCGAAAACTTGATGTAAATTTCCGGAATTCCGGGAATTCCCGGAAAAAAATCATCTATGACTTATTGTGTTTATAACCCTCTCTCAACTCTATAACTCCGAAACACGAACCTTGATGAACAAGGCCGCTGCGCGGAGAAACGAGTTAAGCGCGGTACTACCAGGGACGTGATGGGGATCGAACTCGGAACCACTCGTTTATGAAGCGAGCGCTCTACCACTACACCACTACCCCATAAAACATAAAAAGCAAAAAATGAAAATACAAATACCTAAATATAAATGTTTAAAACTTTTGCATAAAAATAAAAAAAACTTAAACTAACCCTTTTGGCTTTACTTGTTTTGCCAATTTTGTCATTGAGATAGATGGAAAATCATCAAAATTAGAAAGTTCAAAACTATTTCTTTTGGAATATTTCTTTTTATCAGAACTATCATTAGACTTAATAGGGGACACTCCAAAAAAATCAGATGAAATCTGTGAAGGACTTGTTGAACCGACCTTCATAGGAGAAGAATAACTTAAGCTTTGAACACATTTTTTCTTGCTCCTATTTTGTGGTAATACTTTAGATTCATTCTTATCTATATTTTTTTCAATTATTCTCTTTGGTGACTGATAATGAATATGGTTAGCTGGAGATGCCTTTTCATGAAGGTAAGCAAGAAAATACTCTATAAACTCAGATGACGATGCAGAAAAGCCATTAGACTAAAAATAAAAAGAAGAATAAATGCAATTTAAATAGACTGCTAACTACATAGATATATTTTATACAAAAATAAAAAACAAAACAGTAAAAAAAAAAAGAATTAAAAAAAACTTTTTAACTAAATTTAATAAGATCATAAAAATAAAAACCAGCAAAATATGATAATAAATATGATACAAAAGCTTTAAAATGCTTCAATAACCATTAAACTTTGGCATTCATTAATTTGTTTGTAAATTTGGAAATTAAAATTTTTTAAATGAATTTAACTCATTTACTTTTTTGTTTTAGTATCAGCAAAAAAACAAATTATCAAAAGTCAATAATCTGAATTTTCATTTTAAAAACAAAATTCTGATAAATATTTCAAAACTGAGCAGACTTAAACCTACAGTAGTAAAAACATATATGCAAAATCATAAATTACCTTTCTTTTTTATGTCAAATAAAACAAGAGAGATGTTCGTTGATATAAGAAGATATAAGAAGATATAAGAATTGAGTTAAAGAAATGTCTTTTTATTTTTAATTCCTTTAAGATAATATTTTTTTTTTTTTTTTTTTTTTAATTTTATTTCATCTCCTCAAGGCCGAGAAGGCCACTACAGACTAGGAGGCTACTTATTTGTGGTTATAACCCTCTCTCAACTCTATAACTCCGAAACACAAACCTTGACGAGCAAGGCCGCTGCGCGGAGAAATGAGTTGAGCGCGGTACTACCAGGGGCGTGGTGGGGATCGAACTCCGAACCACTCATTTATGAAGCGAGCGCTCTACCACTACACCACTACCGCATATATATATACAATACAATATATTAAGAGCATTAGAAAATTTAACATTTGTAACATTTTTGACCTACCATACCTTAAATTTAACTAAATTTAAGGAACAAACGTAAGGAAAAAACCCTCAGAAACTATTGAATATATCAAAACTATTGCATAAATAAAAAAGACACAAACTTTTATTTAAGTGCTATAGCATAACCCAGCTTTAATTGTCAGAGAGAAAAACTTAAAATAGCTAAAATGAGCTATATTTGTGGTAAACTTGGTAAACTTTTCTAACAATACATCAGGAGAACATAAAAGAAAAAAGGATTAATATCTATTTTATTTATACAAATATCTTAATAATTCATGTTAATGAGTCAGATCTATGAAATATTTATATAAAATTTCAACACATGGACAATAACTAATTTAAAAAATAATTTATTTATATAAATAAAAAATATAACATAATTTTTTTATATTTAATGCAGGTAATCTGAGTTGCTTGAACTAGACCGAGCAATGAAAGCCCACAAAGAAAAATATGAAAATAGGTCTTTAAAAAAAAGTTTATATTAAGGAGAATTTTATTAACATTTTTTCTAACAAAGAAAATGAAAAAGATTGTTGTTGTAGAAAGATTGTTGTAGAAATGTTCAGAATGAACAGAGATTCATTTTAAGAAGAAAAGGTTTATACACATATCATTCACATAAATATTTATGGCCTTGAAATTGTAAGACCTGACATTTTACATCTTTTATTAATCTCAGACACACATTAAATTTAAATTTGCTATTTGCATTGTTTTTTGAAATAAGCGAATCACATTGTTTTTTGAAATGACCGAATCGCATTATTTTTTGAAATGACCGAATTGCATTGTTTTTTGAACCGAATCAAGTAGTGTTCTTTACTTCTAAATTCATTTTCATAAAAATTTGAATTATTTTCAAAAAGGGCCATTAAAATTTTTAATTCTGCATTACTGTCAATATTTTTCTATTAACCCACAACCAAACAAAACAGTATTAAAAAAATTTTAAGACTGTTTTGTTTGGCTGTTTTGTTTAAAAAAGAAACAAAACAGCCAAAACAAGTATTAATTTAAAAAAGTCGCATATTTTTAAATTTACAATATTTATCGAATACTCAATAAATTGTTAACAATTAGATTTTTAACATGTTTCCTTGTTATGTTGAATGATATTATGGTTTTTTTAATATTCTATAAGGTTTTAAAAAACGTACAACAACTGGAGTTCTGTTCTTGATGGCATTGCAAACATAAGCAACATCAATTTCCCCACTAAAAACAGCAGAAAGAATGTTTTCAGCCATTCTTTGTTTCATCCATTCTTTGTTTCACACACAAAATTATATTCCTTATCTAAATAAAAAACATATAGCTTAAAAATTATAATCAGAATATAAAAGTAAAAACAGAAAGAAGTACACTCTTTTGCAATGATTAACTAATTTTTACAAAGCTTTAAATTAATAAACCGCTATTTATAAGGCTTTTAAATAAAGGTGTAAATTATTTATTTAGAATTAAGTACAAAAGTATGAAATGATAAGTATAAAATTGGGTATTAAGTAATTTCAATTTTGAATTTTTTATGAAGTTCTAAGTATTATATAAGGCACTTATGTTTCTTTAATGTTTTATAATTATAAAAATATTCTATATAATATATACATATACATATACATATACATATATATATATATATATATATATATATATATATATATATATATATATATATATATATATATATATATATATATATATATATATATACATATACATATATGCTCTCACATTATGTATATACTCTCAGCAAAATTTTCATAGTTCTACTTACAATTCTAGTATTTTAATACAAAATATTTATTAATTTATTTTGTAAAAAACTAAAAGTTAGAAATATTTTGAAAGAACACACGAAATTTCTATAGTTCCATCAAAAGTAAATCTTTTTGTTTTAAATATTAATTTTTTAAATACTTTTACACAAATAATTACCACCTTTTACACTAGTTTAATTAATTTTTAAATATTTTTTACACTAATTAATTACCACCTTTTACACTAATTAATTTGGAGATTCAGTTTTTCATACTTTTTATAAGATTTTCCTAACAAACCTTTGAAATACAATTCCATGCTTGTTGAATATAAGTTTTAAGTTTTTGATTTGTATTATATTGTTGATAATTTCTATATATAGTTCATACCAAACTTTCTCATAAATTTTCAATAGGGTTCAAGTTGGGTGAACGTAATAGCCAATCCAAAACATGTATATTTTTTTCCTGGAGCCACTGTTTTACACTTTGTGGTGTGTGAATTGCAACATTATCTTGTTGGAAATCCAATTCTCAATAAGTAAACCTTCACTAAACTTGATTAAAACATCCTCTAAAAGATCTTCGTAATTTCTTGAATTCATTTTTGTTGTAACAAAACATATTAGAACTTTGTCGTGGAAACAAAATGCAGCCCACATCATAACTGTCTCAAGTTACAACTCATAGCAATGCTATCTTTATTTTTCATTGGAAAAAAAAACATTTTCCCATTCTGCGTCCCATGTTGTGTGGTTCTTGGCAAACTCAAATCTTGCATTTTTATGTTTTTTAGTTAATGGCAGTTTTGCAATCATTTTTTTCCACTGGAATCATCCTGACTTTGACAAAATTTGTGAGACATGTCTTGTGGTCACAGGTAATTCTAGTGCAATCCTTAATTGTCTTGCTGTTCATACTCCGGATGATGCCAAAAGCAAAATGTAAGAATGTTGTCTTCTGGTTATTTTATTATTTCTGCCCTTTGGATGATTTTTATTGTAATTTTCATCTAAGTTTATAAAATTATTCATTGCATGATTAGAATTTTTGATTTTTTTTTACAATTTATTGATGAACAAACCTATATCTTTATAAGCAACAACTTTTGCTTTTTCTTTCTCATTTAACACCCTTATGCGTAGCATTGAATAATTAAATAACCAATGTCAATTAAAAATACACTAAACTTCCATATAGAACAAACAAATCAAAATTTTAATCAAACTTCAATCAATTCTTATTTAGTATTCAGAACAAACTGATGGAACTACGGAAATTTTCTGTGTAATTATATACCGGATTTTAAAAACATTTTAGAAAAGTTATAATTATTTTAGAAACACATAATATTATCATAAACGCATTTGCTTGCAATAGGTCTAATAAATAATTCTTGTGTTAACTTTATAAATAAATTTCGCATAAAATTTGCAATACCTACATGGAACTATGGAAATTTGGCTGAGTGTATATGTACATAATTAAAAATGTGTTTAAATAAGCACTATGACATCACACTGAAATAGCCTGCTGTCAGAGGCTTCAGAACATATATTAACTATTTTATAGCATGCTACCATAAAGGAGAGCCACTACATCTTCTGAGGAATTTGGATGGGGCAGCAATCTTGAATCAAGCCCAGCTGATGATATATATATATATATATATATATATATATATATATATATATATATATATATATATATATATATATATATATATATATATATATATATATATATATACACATCATCAGGTTGGCTAAAAAAACTTGACACAAAGGGGTTAACATAAAACATAGAAACAAGGTTGGCAAATTTTTGCCATTCTTGAACATTTTTAGGTCGGCAGTTATGTTGACATTGCTGAATGCCGAAAAAAAAAAAAAAGTATATATATATATATATATATATATATATATATATATATATATATATATATATATAATGCTTTAGAAATAACATTAATTATAGTCAAACAATAAATGATGTACTATTATTTTACTTTTAATATCAATATTACTAAAATACAAAAATGCAATAAAAATGTACTAAACAAAAACAACAAAATAGTGGGAATGAGGTTTCACCAAACACTGGCAAACACAATAACAAACCAGATAAAGCTTTTAAAGAGAAGCAACGCCAAACTTAGTCTAAAAAAAAATATGTATAGAGTGTCATTAAAGTTTCCACTAAAAGTTAAAGAACAGTACCAAACATTTATCAAAATGTCAACAAATATTACTTGTAAACTTTTGTACAAAAACTCCAAAAATTCATACTAACTGGTAGTTGCTATTTCAAATACTTAAACTGATAGTCTTTTTTTATCTCATTAAGTTACATGGAATTCTGGATTGCTTGAACTAGACTAAGCAATGAAGCTTGCAAAAAAATATGACATAGTTATGGAAAAAACTCTGCCAAGGAGAATAAATAATACAAACAAGAAAAAAAAAACAGATGTTTAGAAAGGTCAAAGATTTAAACTAAAAAGAAAAACATATTTACAAATCATAACAAATGATAAGAGATCAGTTATCAATAACAAACATAAATTGATGCATTTTAAAAATTATTACAGTATTTATCATGTGGCAAGATAAAATTTTACTAGTTAAAAAATTTATCTTGAACATCAATAATATTAACTGTCCTATTTATACTGCTAACTATCAATAAATAAACACGATTTAACTTTAACATATACATAAAGTCAAATATCTATAATAAATAAACATGATTTAACTCTAACATATACATAAAGTCAAATATCTATAATAAATAAACATGATTTAACTCTGCATAAACATAAAGTCAAATTAGGAAAATATGTAAATATAAGTATATAAAAAACAAAGATTTTTTTTTATTTTTTCTTTTAAGTCTAGGGCTATATTAGATTTTAAACAAATCCATGAATAATATGACTATATGCCCTACTTTTCACATTTAGTTAAACTTTGTTTTTAATACAGTACAAAACAACTGAAAAACTACATAAAAGCTTGTTATTCTCAGTAACAAGCTTGTATGTTATTTTTTAGTAATATGAAATATTAGATTTAGCAGTGTATGAAACATTTTTCATGATATCATACTAAAAAATCTATCTATAGGACCTTCAGCTCAAACATTAACTAAGGATTTGGTATCTATGTGTAAAGAATGTTTATTATGCAATAAATAATTCAATTTCTTTAATGACTCTTCTTTTTTGTAAATTCTTTGAACTAAAACTGTTTTTTTTTTAAATTTTTTAAAGTGCGCTATTTAATTATTATTAATTTGTTTTAAATCAATAAATTTTAAATTGTTACTAGGGATAAATTGTTACTAGGGATAAACTGTTACTAGAGATAATTTGTTACTATGGATAAATTATTACTACAGATAAATTGAAATACTAAAAATGTAAATAATAACTATTTTACCTTTGTTATCCTTATTCTTTAAAGAATTGAAATCTTTATATTTTTGACTGAGCCACTCCTAAAATATTTTTACAATGTTTATATTTACACCAATGAATATTTATAACAAATGGACATTTAAAAAATGTATAACTTTTTACTTCATCCCAGACTTGATTTATTCAAAAATTTCAGAATATTCTTTTGTTGTACTTTCCTTTTCTTATTTTTTTAACTTTCTATAATATTTTGATAAAAATGTTATACTTAATAAAAGTGTTCAGTGTGAAACAAATAGATGCTGTGAGATAAATAATGAGATATAATAGAAAACATGAGATAGATATAGATTATTTCAGAATTAATAGATTATTTATATAGTATATATAATATAATAGTGCTGTACACTTAATAAGTAATGAGACCAAACTATATAGAGTTTGTAACTGCAACAGCTGTAACACACAAACATAATAAAAGTTATTATTTAAAATGTTCATCCAATTTGTGTTTGAATTGTTTGATACTGACTGTGTCTATTGTTTCTTGTTTAAAATTGTTCCAGTTGTTTACTACTCTATTAGTAAAAAATGTTGTTTTATATTTCCTGTTTATTGCCTTCTCAGTTTACTATTGTGACCTCTAGTTTTATATCCGTTGTTTAGCATTTCGGGATTAGGGAAAAATTTATGATATCGTATCCTTTCAAATATAAAAATTAAAAAATTAAAGACAAAAAAATTATAATGAAACTTTTTCTGCAAACTTTTTTTTTTTCAATCTATAAAATCTGTAAAATGAAACAGGTGTTTTTTAATTATTTTTACAGAAAAAAGACTTTTTTTATTTTTTATTTTAAGTGTAATAATGATTGGCGCATGACAATTACCATCGAGGCAATTTTTAACTGTAGAACTGATTTTTTTATTTTTGTTAACCAATGTTATTGATCATTTAGCACCACACCTACAAACTATGTGTTGTCAAGGTTACTTGACATAAAGTGTTTTTGTTAATAACTAATTTTGATACATATGTGTTTTTGCTTATAACTATTTTTAATATTTTATATTAGAATAGATTTAATAATAATACACATTATAAAGATCTATTAATCAGTTTAGATATTATTTAATAGAAGCCCCATTTACCAGATTAACAATAAGTGTATTTCATTCAACCCCATAATTTACTTTTTTTTGTTTTTAACTAACAACTTCTTTACTAAAGAAAAGATTCTTTACCAGAGTAAAAAATTATCAAGGATACATTTTGAGTTTACTATTACCAAATTTTACTTCTGAGGGTTTTAAGGTCTTTTTACACAAAAAAAATTTTACGCAGCCAAAAATTAAAGAATTTATCAAAATATTTATTTATTTTATTAAAATTTTAAACCATTTTATATTCAAAAAAATTCTATACAACATGATTGAAAAATATTTGCAATAATTATTCAATAATTAGGAGCAGAAGAATAAAGACTGTCTAAATATTAAAAAAAAAAAAAAAAATGAATTAAGAAAAACAGCGAGTTGTAAATCAGTAAAAAATGCTTTTTTTTTCAACCATGTTTAATTGATTATTAAACCATAGTTAATTTATAATTAATCATGGTTCATTGAGGATGTTATATTTTACTATCCATTTTTTAGAATATAATAATAAACAAAACTTGCTCCAGCCAAAACCCTTAGTCGATGCAAGTACATAGAATTCTTGCCTATTTCTATGTCACTTGATATGTGCAATGACCTGTGTTGGTAATAGCCTTATTGTTAATCATTGTAAATTGTTATGTTTGCATCTGATTTTTTCACACAAACTTTTACATGTTGTAGTTATAAGATAAATACTAGGTTTAATAAGTTTTGTTGTTTGATAAGAGATGGTGCTATTAGGTTCGTTCTTTTGTTTTTTCAAAATTGTTAGTACTTTATTATGAACACATGTAAAGTTTCACGTAGATCTGTTACCTTATTTGTATATTTACAGATGTTCAAATTTGACGTATTACAGTATTTTTTTACAATAAAAAAAATTCAAAATCAAGCAGTAATAAAATTCTTATTTGAGGAAAATGTGACACCAAAACAAAGTCTTAAGCCGTTGTTAAAAATGTATAAGGACTCTTCATCTTCAGTTAAAACAATAGAAAGATAGGTTGCTGAATTTAATCATGGTTATACAAGTCTTGAAGATGATCCATGTGAAGGACATCCAAAAAGTGCATCAACATCAGAAATCATAGCAAAAATATAAGATATGCTTTTGGAAGATCATTAATTAACCAAGAGAGATTTAGTAGAAGCTCTAGGCATCTCATTAGGTAGTGTGAACAATATTTTGGCTGAACCTTTAGGTTTCAAAATGCTGTGTGCACAATGGGTGCTGCATTCGCTAATGATGAAACAAAAACACATTTGAATGCAACTTTCTCAGCAACAAATGATTTTGTGTGTTGTTTCATCACTATGGATGAGACTTGGATCTACCATCATGATCCTGAACAAAAAGAAGAGGCTAAGGAGTTAGAGTCCAGAAATCAGCCAAGAAGGTATAAGCATCAGTTTTTTGGGATACAAAAGGAATTTTGTTTGTGGATTACCTTCAAACTGATGAAACAAAAAAACTCAGATTATTATTGTACCTTTTTGGACCAGCTCGAGACAGCTGGATGTAAAAATTTGATAGAGAATCTGGTTTACAGAAGAAAAAAATCCAGCTCGAGACAGCTGGATGTAAAAATTTGTTAGAAAAGATCTGGTTTACAGAAGAAAAAATTTTTTTTTCATCAAAACGCAACATCTCACACAGTTAAAAAAACCCTTTCGAAATTCATTGAATTAAAATACGGATTGTTGCAACATCTACCCTATTCACCAGATTTGGCTCCATATGACTTCTGGCTATTCTCATATCTTAAAAAATTCAAGTGTGGAAAAAGATTTTCATCAAACGAAGAATGAAGCATGGTGAAAAAAGATTTTCATCAAAGAATTTGAAGATAATAACACCCATGAAAGCTTATTTCAACAGTCTTCTAGATTCTCACTTCAGGAATGGAGTTTACAAATTAGAAGATCACTGGAACAAGTGTATTGAAATTAAGGGAAATTATATTGAATAATAAACTGAATTTCAATACAATAAAATCTTGTTTTTCCTATTGAATAGACATAACTAATTAAACAACCTATTATAATAATATATTCTTCTATTTGATAAATAGAAGATAATAAAAAAATAACAAGGATATACTAAAACCTTTTTAACACAAGAGATGACGAGATTACACTTTCTAATGCAAGAGATTACAAGAAATTTTATAACTAACAATCACGTTTAGAATGTTAACTAATTAAATTGTAAGGTTAAGAGCAAAATTTTATTTCAAATTACATTTGTAATTAAAATTTGAAAAAATGAATTTAAAACAATTCACACACAATTCAAATGAATTCAATTCACAATTTCAAAAATTCAAATGAATTCAATTCATGCACAATTCAAATGAATTCAAAACAATTCACACACAATTCAAAACATTTTAGGAAAGTTATCATAATTTATTTATAATAAATATATTTAAACTGTTTAAATACTTAAATTCTTTACTTGTTAATATTTTATTTTATTAATTAATTTAACTTAAAAATTTAAAGCAATTATCAAAATAAACTGACTTTTTATTTTTTCATATTTATTATATGAAAAAATAAAAAGTTTGTTTCAATATAAAATTTTTGTCTTGTGAAAATACTGTTGCAATAAAAATCACTGGCAATAAAAATCACATGACAATATGAATTTAAAGACCATAAATACTAAATATAAAACATGTACTTTAAATATTTATATTTTTTGAGTTTGCAAATTTATTTAATATTTATAAAAGATTTTATAATAAAAAATTAGTTGAAAAAAAAAGGAAACTATAGAGACTAGTCGCAAAAAACTGTTTTCTTTCATAAAACTGTAAAAAGTTTTAAATATATAAAATAACTACATAAATAATAATTGTTATTTGAAATTAGTACCTAATGTAAAATTTTAAAAAAATGTGTAAACAAAAAGTTATGCTCAACATTAAAAAGGTGAAACAACAACAAAAAACGATTTAAAAACAAAAGAAATGTTTAATTTTTAAATATTTAACAACTAATTCCACACAAAATGTCACAAATAAGATAAATTTAGCCAGAAAAGGTGTAACTACATTAACTAATAGGTTAGAGTGTGGTCCAACTATGTAATTTAACCAACATCTTGATGTGTTAGTTGGTCAACTATTTAGGACTTGTCATTTGTCAAAATAAAAAATATGAAAATAACTAAACTATCAATACTTAACCTATAATTTTTTTTATTATTATTTTTTTTTTAACTACGCTTTTATTTTTTAATTTAATACTTCTACATTTTTATTGAATGATTTTGAAACTATCAACTTAAAACATAATATCATTTTATCATGACAAAATGATGTAACCATTTCGATTGATATCATGTGATTCAAACTGTAAAATGATATTATTACTTTTAAGAAACATAACTAAACAATCATTAATAGAATTTTATATTTTATACTTTATATATTTCAAAATTTCTTGTAAGGTTTATGATAATTAGAACACCTTAGAAATTGATACAATTTGTGAAATAAATTTTTCTAAAATAAAACATCTAATTAAATTGCCTCACACAATTGATTACTTTCAAACAATACTTACAAACTGTATAAATGTAGATAAACTGACATTTGGAATTATATTTATTAATAACTACATACCTTAAGATCTTTAATGTCATCAAGAAATTCTTGCATTCCCTTTTTATAGACCATGCCAGACTTAACATCTTCAATCAAAACTAAATTAATAATTTCAAAGTTAACTATAAAACACCTGTAACTAACTGTAAAAATATATTAAAATTGCCAAATGTCTGGTTTTTATGATGGAGAACACAGAAAAATCTTTAGTTTTAAAAGTTTAGCATTGTGTAATCCTACATTAAAACTGGACATCTAGCAACCCTAAATATATATACACATATACATATCTATATACTAACGTTTTTCTAAAGTATTGTTTTTATGCTTCCTATAAACATTCAATGCGGAGCACACAGATATCAATGAGAAAGTCCACAAGACAAATGAGTGATTTCTGTCAATAAATTGACGAAATTTACCATAAGAATTTGACATGTAATTGATATTTAAAACTATAAGATTTTATTTTAAATAATAACTAGAAATATATATATATATATATATATATATATATATATATATATATATATATATATATATATATATATATATATATATATATATATGATTTTATTTGCATATAAGCTATAACTAAGTTTAAATATTATAAAAATTTCTGAATTTTTATTATCTATTTTGAATAAATTTCAAATAATCTTTTAAAAGATATATTTATCTATTTAAAAAAAAACTTAAATTATTTATTCAATATACCTACTGTTAGGGTTGCCAGACATCCGGCTATTACGAAGCCAATTCAATATACCTACTGTTAGGGTTGCTAGACATCCGGCCATTACAGTAAAAAAATTTATTTTTTTAAGGTTTGGATACCTCAACAAAAAATGAACAAAAAATGCTGGACCCGGCCCTGGTTTTAGGTCTACACTAACATTTTGTGAATACTTTAATTTTTAATATTTTGTGAGTAATTTTTAAAAATTTATACAAAGTACTACTGACCAATAATGGGGATAACCCTTGTTTAATTTAGAGACAAAAAATACTTATTCCTAAAGAAAATTATAACAAAGTTGGTAGTTCTAACCCTAATTTTTATATGCACTTTGGAAATTTATCTTTATCTTAATCTAACACCAACATTTTATAACACTATAATACTCTTTTATAAACTAAAAAAAAGTCGATAACATTTGTAAATTTAATTTATTTCATATTAATGCATTTTTACTTTAATTGTCACATCAGTAGGAACTCCAGCAGGTTTAAGTTTCTTGGGTTCATTCATAGGTAATGGAATTGTAAATGGCATTAACCCATAATGCCTTGCTTTAACAATAGCAGCCTCAACTCGTTTATATTGCATTTTGCATATATTTGTGACATATGGACTCAGAATCTGCCATGTATATGGACATACAAAATGGGATAACAACTCAACATCTGTATAGTGTAAATCATAGTCATTGTTTATTTTTAACTGGCATAACGGACAAGGATTACCAGAAAGCATTTTTCCACCACAACGAATACACTTTTTTCTTGGCTTTAAGGGAGCAAACTGGCCTTTGTAATTTCTTTTATACCCATGCCAAATAAGCTTAAAATCTGATCGCTTGTTAATCTCCACTTTTGGCAAACGTCCTTCAAATAAGTTTTTTATTTGTTCTGAAGCTTTATTAATTTGGAAAGAGTTTCCAACAAGTAAAAGAAAAGAACTTGATACATTTTCTACACTATTATTCTCTTGATTATCTACTACACGCACAACAGCCCCTGTGTTCTTTCGTATTTGTTTAACAGCATTAACACCATTTTCATCTAATATAAAATGAGATGGAAATAATAATTTTACAGCAGAATAATCATGAGTAGATGGTCTGATGCAAGTTGAGCTTAATAATCTATAACTTGAATATTTAACAATGTTAACTGACAGTCGCATCCAGACATTCATATTTTATCATTAATTTAGAGCTAGTAAAGCTACATATAAAAATTAAAATAAAATGAGTTAGAACTAGTTTTTAAGTATATTTCACATGAAATTCGTATTAAAACAGCAAACTACTAAATAAATTTCAAAGATACAATTAACTTAAGTTGAGTTTTAATTTAAGCTTTAATTAATTAACTTGAACAAAGTGTAAGTAGTTATATATATTTACACTTCAATTAATTAAATTATAGCATAGTATAAATATAAAATAGCTGAAATTAGTCAAAGTAAATTAGTCTATAATGTTAGACTTTAGTTTCTTTAGTTTATAGAATGAATATAAAATATTCTACATGATATATTAAAAAATATTTTTCGTAATGTATTAAAAATGTATTATTAGAATATATATATATATATATATATATATATATATATATATATATATATATATATATATATATATATATATATATATATATATATATATATATAATATTAATAAAATATTAATTATACCAAATTATTATTAAGATTTAAAATATTAAATAATATTGAAGTTTCTAAGTTCTGAATTTGTTTGAACTCGATGGTTCTGCACATATATATTGTATTTTATTTTTCAAGTTTTAAATTTTAGTCCATATGTAAGTTAAGTTTCATATAATATTTAGCAGCAATACTTGAACAAATAATGCTGATTTGATTGTTCTTTTTTCTCCTGTAAATGCAAATAAACAATTCATTCCTTCTTTGTAAACAATTCATGCCTTAACGGATCCCAATTAATAAACGTGATCTTGTTAAAATAAAAGATTCTTAATTTTTCAATAAATGCTGTTGAGCACTCCACAAAGGTGCAATACTATATCATTTGCATAATGTAGGATACTAATAGGCGCATCATCAATATTCATATCACTTTATGTCAGCTTGTCACTTTTTTAAATCCAAAGCAAATGCAGAGATAAAACACTGCCTTGTCTAGTCTCATTCATTACTCTAAAAGATGTGATAACAATATTTTTCTAACAAACATTTATTTGTAAATTAACGTTCCAAAAAGTTAAAGTTCCAAAAATTCAATTTCAAACCCTCTTAGAATTTACAACTCAAATTTGAGAATAACAAGTTTGTGAATGCAGTTATATACATCCAAAATATAGTTTTACCAGATGTAAAAAATAGGAAATAGCTTAGCCATGTTATTTATGGATTAGTTTAAAATCTATTATAGCTAGAGTACTGAAACTCTCAGAATATATGGCTTTGCAAAAATTAGACTAGATCGACACTTAAAATGAAAACTGTTATTCTTAGGTCTTGAACTTTCTAACCATAACTAGTTTTTTATAATTTTTCAAAATTTAGTAATCGAAAGTATTCATTAACATTAAGTTTTTTAAAACATTTTAAATGCACTGTTCCCTCTAATTAGTGGAAACCGCTGGTGCCAAAATGTTTTTGGAAAGGTGTTACATTTTCGGCTAATTTCAGCATGACATTTCTATCCTCAAGTATAGAACTTGAGATATTCATAGTAGAAAAAAGTATGGGTATTATTGACTATACAATACAATAAATATACCCAGATACATCGAGTTCAAACCTAACTTAAAATTTACGACTCGGGAATATATAAACCTAGGTAAGCGCGTATCCAATAAGTTTCGGCACCGATTATGCAGTCATAAAAAGTATTTATTGTTATGACTGGATTATGTAATCAAAATCTTCGACCCTTTTATCAAAGCGTGTATTTTGTTGTGTTATTTTTTAGAATTTTATATCAAGGTACACATTTAAAAAGTAATAGAGTTAAACTTCATTTTTCTATAGTTTTTTTTTGTAGTTACAACCACTTTTAATGAATTAACTTTTTAAAGTTTACAGAAAACCACATGTATTTGCGCTTCTAAAAAACAAAAAGCTCCATAATTAGGGACTTGCACAGCGTGCGGGTTTAGTATATGATTTTTTAATAGGGGATAAATTAACAAAATGGCGGTTTTGTTTAATTAATTATAAGCAATTTTTCGTTGTTTTAGTTTTTGTTGAAATAACTAGTATTACAAAGATATTAATACTATAAAGTGGTTTTGTTCTTCATATTTATGTTTCAACAACGTTAATACAAAAAAAAGGAGATAGAACTTAATAAAGTAATATGGATTAATACTTTGTTTTAGTCCAATCTTCTTAATTTCCATATATCGGACGAACGGATACATTTTTTATGGAGACCGTCTCAGAAATACAATATAGTATTCATAAAAGTTAATGCAAAAAGTGGTAAGTTGGATTTAAACAGAATAAGGAACCAATAACTTCCGATAGATAAAAATAATATAAAACAATACTGGTATTATGACATTTTGTATTTTGTATTTTAACAATACTGGTAACTATTGTTAACAATCTAAATTGTCAAGAAACTAAAACTATTATTTCATACCATCTCAACTTAAATAATAATTTCAAAATCCTAATATAATAGATGAAAAAATATGTTTTTTATTTTATTTATTAACTTATGTTATTTTTTTCATTATAGAACAATAAACCATTAAATAAAAGACTTGAAAAAGCTAATGCAGAAATACAATCAAAAAATAAAATATAATTCTACATATAAAAGTAAAAGTTTTCAAAAATTTGATAATCAATTGTTATTACAAAGTTACTAAAACCTAATACACTAACACTAACTAAAAAAAATGAATTTTTATTGCCGCCGTTAAAGATGGCAGACTAAGTTTTGTATAAAATATTATAACTTTAACTTTTTGCCCAAGTTGAAAATATTTATTCAATTAACGTTAATAAAAATGGTAAGAAAAGAAGACTTTAAAGCTCTAGTAAGTAGAGTATTAAAATTGGAAGCAGAACTTTTAACAAAGGATAAAAAAATTACTCAACTCAAAATATTAGTGAACGATCTGAAGAACCAACTAAGCAACGTACTAAATTCGAGTGCTTGTGCATGGTCCAATGTAGTAAAAGGTAAAAAGAGTAACAAAGCAGCTCAACTGGATTTAATCAATGTAGTTGTTAAAGAATCTCAAGATAGAGATTCCGACAGACCCGTTTAATGGGATGTTCTCTTTAAATAAAATTTTACAGCGTCAATAATGGCGGTGCTTTCTTTAAATAGAATTTTACAGCGTCAATACCCTCGCGATGAGGAATGTTTGTATACAGAGATATAACATCAGCCGTGACAAGAATGTAATTGTTGGTTTCTAGTACATGAGATTGAAGGATTTTAAGGAAATGCGTTGTGTCTTTAAAGTATGCTGGTAATTGTTCAGCAACTGGCTGAATATATTCTGTGATAAAGAACAATAAGTTATCGATTGGTCCGTCACAACCAGAAACAATTGGTCTTAAGGGAGTGCCTATCTTATGAATCTTGGGAAGGCCATAAAACAGGGGTGTACGAAGGGAGTGTTTTTGATCGTAGAAACTCTGATGTTTTTTTATCAATCATATGATGAAGAAACATATAGTCAATAAGATTGTTAACATCTCTCGCTATACTTTTTGTTGGGTCTTCTGAGAGTATTTATATGTATTTTTATCTGATAAAAGTAGAGAGATCTTCTCTTCATAGTCAGTTTTATCTAAAATACAAATACCCCCTCTTTTGTCTTATTTTTTTACATAACAGCATATACAAGTGGTACATAAATTAAAATTATGGGCGGGACGATGCCACCCTTAACGCCCCTTCCCCCTTCCTCTCAGTCTTCTCCAACAAAAAAATATGTTAAAAGATATTTGAAAAATGGTTTTAAACTGAGTTTATTTAAAAAGAGAAATTAATATTCAAGATTATTTTACCATGTTAGTAAGGGGAGGGGTGTGTGCCACACCCAACGCCCCCCTTCCCTCTTCTTATTTAAACTTAAAAAAAAGTCAATAAAAATTTCAAAAATGTCTTTAAATTGTGTAAAAAGAGAGACATAACTTTACTGATCTTACCACATTACAAGATGCAAGTTTGAGTATCCACCCTAAAAAGTAACCAAAGTTTTAAAACTTATATTTTAAAAAGTTTTAAAATACAAAATATATAAATTTATGTCTTGGCTTTTAGTAAATGATATTATTTAAAATTCCAATAATGAAACTAAATAAATCATTTTTAACAATAGACACCACATGAAGGTAAGCCAGAGCTGTCTATAGGCACCATATGTAAGATCAATCTTTTTTCACTTCATCCGCAAACATAGCTCCACTTTTTTTTGAACCAATAATTCTTAAAAAAAACAAGTAATGGTTAAATAAATATAATATTTAGGAACTGTAAACATAAGTTAAACTGGTTTAAAATCAAACAACTAAACTGGTCTAAAATTAAATAATATTTCTTAACTCAAAAAAACAGTATATAAACTAAAATAAAATAAAGAATAGTAATTGGGTATGCAAAAGATATTTAACATTTATTAACTCAATAAACCATTACATATAAATCTGTAACTACATTTAATATGGGCTATGAGAAAACCTCAAAATTTCAAAACCTCAAAAAATCCTAAACGCATTAAAAAGTCTATAACTATTTATAGTTACAACTTTAATACTTTCTACACTACAACTTTTAATCACATTGAAAACATACAAAATAGATCCCTTGCAAACTATTACACCTGTCAATACTTCGTTTTTAAATCATTTTGTGAAAGATTTAAAATAAATAAATCAAATTTTAATAATTGTAAAAATTGGGACAAAATGGAAAACAAACTTGATAATGTTATATATTTATTTAAAAAAAAAAAAAACAGGCATGGTGACGCCAAGTAATAGTGGATGCCACCATTCACGACAAAGCCGCTTCCATTTCGTCTTTGCCCACAACCTCCTCCACGGCTTCCTCTTCTGCTGTAGCTCCCAGCACCTTTGTTAGGAGGATGATAGGCCCAGCTGAATGATTCACCATCATTCCCTCCTAACCGGACCCACCGCAAAAATGACCGATTACTAATCAGTCTAGGGTGCTGGACCCTAAATCTGTAGTTGTTGTGGAGGTTGTGGGACTAAAGGTAAAATTTTTTAAAAATAAAATAACAATTTACTTGCTATCGATAAGATATGCATACACATATTAGAAACAATACTTTTACACATGTATGTTATGCATACACATATTAGAAAATAATAGTTTACAAACTTACCACTTGTAGCAGCTGAAGATGTAACTAAAGGTTAACAAAGTTGAAATAAAAATAAATATTGTGATTGCCAAGAAATGCATAAACATATTGAAAAGTGAAAGTTTGTAAACATACCAATTATTGCAGATGTAGATGTAACTAAGTTAAAAAAAAGTGTAATAAAAAATATATATTGCAATTGATCTGAAATACATACATGAGCAGGTTTTTTGAAGGATACAATAAAAATATTTTTAAGCTTACCACTCAATGCAATTGAGGATGGAACTAGAGCTAAAAAGTTTTTATAAAAAATAAATTTGGAAGTGTCAAGAAATGCAAAAGTTAAAAATTAATAATTGCTCAACTTACCACTCATTGCAGATGAAGATGTTGCTAAAGATAAAAAAAGTAATAAAAATAAATAAAATAGGCTGGGTAGATTGAACTAAAAATAACAAAAAAAAAGTGTTTAATTACAACAAAACACTATGAAAAGAAAGAAATCATAATTCTGTGGAAGATGCAACAACTGTAATAACGTAATGAAAACTAACAGTGAAAATGTAAAGAAAATATATTAATAAACAACAAGCTAACATTAGGAATGGCTATTCACTTTGTTTATATATTAATTAGGTTATATTGGTTGTAGTTATATATAAAATATTTGATTTATACTTTATATTATACTCTCAAAAAGGCTTCATAATGTGGAGCAGGATCTAAACAACATGTAAACATTAGGCATGCTTGTATTGTGATTTAAATTATAATCCACAAATAAAGAAGTATACAATCCAAAAATAATAAAAGATGATAATAAGATGATAAGTTTTATTATATTTAAAAATTACTAACAAGTCTTTTGCAAGGAATAAACCAATGAACTATCTGATTTGTATGTTGTGTCATAATAAAATTGACAACAGATACTATTAGTTAACAATACATTCAAAAGCAAAGTTTTAAATTGAAGCATTAATCTTCTTTTTTATGTAACATATAAAAACAGATTAAAAATTAATCTGTTTCTATATCATATAAAAACAGATAAATTATATGTTACATAAAAAAGAATTTTAAATCAGAAAATATTCATAAATGATTGTGAATATTTTTTGATTAATAGTTATTATTGATATCATTATTAAAAAAATTAAACTTACTATCTGTTATAGATTCAATAAAACTTCTGTCAGAATTCATTTTTTATTTTAATCTAATAATAAAAATCAAAATAATACGATGTTAGGATTTGTTATTTTTTTTGTACAGTAGGCCATTCGGCCACTCTATCCACCCCCGTATTAAGCTCAACGAAAAAAACAACAGAAAAACCAAAATTATGTACCAAAAATCCAACACTTAGTATACTATCTGCTACCAATTATTTTTCGTTGATTTTTAGCAGGTGCTAAGAAAATGCATGTAAAATATAGGAAAACTAACAAAAAAAGCCGGATCAACATTCCTTCGACAACAAATTAATGTGAGAACAGAGACAAAATTTTCATGCAATATTGTCAGCAAAATAATCCATAAAAATGTTGGGTAACCATACATAAAAGTCATATAAAAATCTAGATCAACCTTTCTCCTTTATGAAAATAATTTATGTTTATACATGTTTCTTAAAAGAAACACAAAAAAACGTTTGCCTAAAGCTACCTAAAATAAGTGGTATACATAATATAACACATTATAAACTATCTGCTACCAATTATTTTTCGTTGAAACTTGGCATGGGCATAGAAAATGCATGTAGAAAATTGTCTGAATAAAAAAAAAAACCGGATCAACATTTCTTCTACTAGTAGTAGAAGAAATGTTGATCCGGTTTATGTATTTATGTATTGTTATTACACTTTTTTGTCGATTATTTTGCTACTGAATATTTGGTTGATCCGCGTACCTATATATTAGGGATACAAAATATATTTAATAAAATTAATGCTGAAGCAACTATCCAACGTGTTTTCAAACTAAGTATAAAATCAGACAAGCCACCATTGGTAGTTATGGGTTATATTTTACTGGTTTCCAAAAACACATGTAACATTTTTCGTTGCATGAGTAGCATTTAAAGTGACACTAAAAAAGCTGACTTTAGTTGAGATTATCCTGTTTATTAAAAAAGATTTCCCAAAATGTTTTTTTAAGAATGGCCATCCTCAAACTGATATGCATATAGACTGTACACATTTAAAGATATAGACCGTACACATTTAAAGATATAGACTGTACACAAGGTTCAATCAGCAATTTTTAATTTCAACACTCTTGATTTTTGTCATTACAAAAATACACAAACAGGAAAAGTATTATGTTATTTGATACATAATTGTATTTAAGCAAAAGGAAGTTGTCCTTTTTTCAGCAATACTTCTATATCTATATTATTTATTATCAGATAGTGAAAAATAGTGTGTTACGTTACGCTTTCAAACTTTTTCCTGTAAACACCAAAAAAATCATCAGTTATTTTGATTTCTTTTATTTAGCCATGCATCTGAATTTTGTTAAACTTTTTTAAAATCAGTATATTCAATATGATCAGCAGCGTATATATTCTCAAAGTTAACATTTATTTCTGTTAAATCTTTTTGTATATGTTACTAAATATCGTAAATAGATTGTAAAGATAGAACATTGTTTTCTTTGCTTCAACACACTCCTTGTTATTATTTATATAATAATTTTAGTATAATAATTTTTTTAGTACATTTTGTAGCAGTTAATTTTCTTTTTGGAAATACATATTATGTTATGTTATTTTTAGGAACAATTATAAAATTTTCCTTCCATTTATCAAATAATATTACTTATTGTGGTAAACATTTTGTGATCTGATTAAGTTAGTATTATAGATTTGGTTTCCTTTATACAATCTATATCATGCTATTTTTGGGTCCCATCTAAGATATGCATGTCAAGTATAGGGACAATCCCATAAACAAATCATTTTAAGGTTGTCCTATCTCCAAAATAAAGCCTTGAAAATAATATATTTTCAGTATAATAACTCTAAATCTAATGTACTATACCTAATCTCCAAAATATTAAAAATAAGCGACCTTGTGGTATACCTCAACTGCCTATTTGTCTGGAATTATCATCACAAAAACTTCCCCTATCATTCAACAATTTCTTTTCAATTACAAATTGTCACTATCCTCTTCGCTCCATCAGTAGCTTAAACTTAGTTATTCCGAAACACCAATCTGCTAAATATGGAAATAAATCCATTAAATATCAATCTATTAGCTCATGGAACAAACTACCTCCTGATCTAAAATCTCTTAATTCAATCTCTGAATTCAAAATCAAGCTTTTTAATTATCTGTTAAAAAAATACAATTAAATATTTCTACCAACTAATATTGACATTCTTTACTAGATATGTCAATTCGTAATCCTTCAGTTCTTAATTTGATATTTTTAACATTTTGAAATTCTCTACTTATCTATCCACATCTAATTTCTCTGGTTTTCTATCTGCCATTTTTAAACTTTATTATTAAACTATCTATACTAATATTATTAATTTTAATACGAATGGGTTGGCATTCTTTATTTATCTATCTATTTATCTCTTTTCATTCAAAAATTCTCTATTTCTCAACTATTCTACTTCGTACTAAATCGTTGTTGTTGCCATCACTCTTTACTAAATTTTTGTTGCTGCTGTTATTGTCTTTATTTATGAAATTCTTCTCTTATTATAATTGTTATTATTTCGTTACTATTATTATTATTGTTATAATTATTATTTTTGTTGTTGTTGTTGCTATTATTGTTCTTATCACAATCATTGTTATTATTGTTATTACTATTATTATTGTTATTACTGTTATTCTATTATTGCTATTATTGCTATTATTAGTATTATTAATAACAGTTATTATTATTACTTTCATCATTGACTATAACGTTACATTGTACATTGAGGTATTTACTTTATATTAGTACTTGTGCTATTGTAAATTTCCTTGAAATGTTATAACTTATTTCGAAATATATTTGATTTGATTTTTTTTTTTAACAATATAAAGATGCATTAAGCAAAAAAGAAGGCATTATTGTAGAAGGATAACTGAGATAGTGATGAAAATTTTACACGTAAAAACAAAACATTTCACCAATATGATTTGAAAGCTTATTTCCTTTATTTTAGAATTTTTTTTTTTCAACTTTTTTTTATCAGCAAGGCGTACTGAAATAAGTTTAGTTTGGCAAGATATAGAAATTTAGTCTTTTTTACTTTGAGAATGTCATTTTTAAAGTCATGATATTTTTTCCTTTGCTTCATGGAAGTCTTTTATAAATAATAACAATGAAAGGACATATCAACATTTTTTGAAACCAACAATTTAAAAGTTAATATTCTTAAAAGTTAAAAAGATATGTGGAACCTTTTTTAAACAAAACTGCAGCAAGACAAATTTGTTCCCCATAAGATTTTGATAACTAACAAGCAACGTTAACGCCAGGGTAAACAAAATTCGTTTTAACAGTCAAAACATTTCTGGCAATTTTCGTTCCGAGACTGCATTTAATTTTTAATAATTGCATCAATTTTTCTGTTCTAAACTGCATTCTCTTATATTTAAAGTATACTTTTTAAAAATAGATAATAGATAAGTAATAGAAGGGTGCGCTGATTCTTTTATATTTAAAGAGGTAGTTAGAGGCGAGATGCTTGTAGAATTCAAGCAAGTTTTGAGTACAAAACGTCTTTTTGCCTTTCACTTTAGTTTTTAAGCAAGAAAAGGGTACTATTTATTTATTCTGATCCGTAACTCGTGTAAAGTGCAATTTGTAGATAAACAATGGTCTATTAATTATTTTGTACAATTATTTTCTATCTAAAAAATTATCAATTGTTTTTTATTAATTACGAAGAAAGGTAAAAACATTCTGGTATCAATTGACATCGACATTGTTTTCGTTCATTTATCCCCTATAAAGATGGCTCCGAAATCTCATACGCCAAAACCACCCCTTATGAAAGTCGGTAATAAAACTACCGTTAGTCGAATCTGACATTTTAAATTTGGTCGCTGTTTTATCAAGCAATCCTTGTAATCAAATTTTGTTACTTAAATGAGCATAACTTTTTGTAGAATTGTTATTTTGTAATGAAATTTTCACTATTGTAATGCTGATTTTAGCCTCTTTTCAATGATATATGATAATCAATAATAAAAATAGCTTAAAATTTTTACACGCGTCCCTAATAAATCTGAAAATAACAAGTTAGTAAATGCATTTTTTCAGTTATTTAGTGCATCATCCAAAATACAGTTTAACCAGATGTAAAAAATAGTACATAGTATAGCCATGTCATTTGTGGATTAGTTTAAAATCTAATATAGGCTATATTAGATTTAAACCTAAATATATATTTACAACTGTATTATAGCTAGAGTACTGAAACAGACAAAGAAAAAAAAATTAGTGTTAATAACTCATTCGTTTCCGGAAGCACCTGAAAAAGGCCGGCGCGATTAGGTGTCACGTGGGGTAGGGAGACATTGATAAGGTCCTTTTTCTTTAAAATTTGCCGACTGACTAGTCTAAAAGGTCTACATTTGCCGACTGACTTGTCTAAAAAGATCAAATTTGTCAAATGAACGAAAAATTCATTGGTAGGTGGGGGGGGGGGTCAGGTCCCCTTCCCTACGCACTCATCTCTTTCGCGCTAGTCTTGCTGTGAATAAACAACAAATGCCCTGACTGTGGCATTTTTTGCTTATTTATTTTAACCACGAGCTGAAGGTAGCTACGTAGCCGTAGGTAGATTTTTAGGTGATTTTTCCAAATATCTTCTTTATTTAGGGTTGGTCCACAAACTACGTCACATAATTGTTGAGAGTTTTATTCCGCCTCTCCCTCTCCACTCCTACCCCATCCCCATTCCTCTGCACCTCGGCACAACATCGTAACTCTTTAGTAACAAGTATGAGTCACTGACCCTCCCCCTCCCTCTAAAGCATGACGCAAATTTTGGGCAACCCTTTATCATATTTAGAATACAATTTTCTTCAAAACGATTTAATTGATTTCTTCATAAAATTGAATTAATTATTTGCATATTTTTAAAAAAATAAGTCATATTGTGTAATTATATTAATATATTAATATAATTAATAATATAATATTAATATCTTAATTTAATAACTATATTAATACTGATAAGTTATCATATTTAATAATTCGACATTTTTAAAACGAATTCTTTTCCACTTGAAGAAGTGGATTAATAATTTGTGGAATTATATTGTCCTATCCAGTTTGATTATCAATGATGACAAGATTTCCTGCGCAAAAACTACTGCTATAAATAAAATTAAATAAAAGCAAACTATTATATCTGCTGATTGTGAATTTATGGGAACATCTCAAGAAGATTACTATGGTAATCCTTCACATTTTTATTTTGCTGAAGATTAGGAGTTAATGCAAAAATTTAAAAAAATTAACAACTTTTGACTGTTTTAAACAATTTTTAGTGGCGAAATTCAAGATAAACTAGTTAATGTTATTTGTTCCTTTGTCTCCCACAAATGCAGATAAACAATTCACGCCAATTAATAAAAGTGATCTTCTTAAGATAAAATATTCTTAAATAATAAGACTTTAAGTAAATATTTGAAATATTACTCTTAGTGTAATTCTGTGTTTCCGAAAAATTGATTTGAGGAAATATATCGTACGACACCTTATTTTGCTTCATCCCAAAAAAACAATGTAAGAATAAACTCAGCAACTTAAAATTTTTGATTTTAATTATCACAAACCATTTTATCCATATATAAAAATCCAGATATGAAAAAAATGAGACAATTAGAAAAAGCCTTTGAGTATTTATTTAAACATTTTAGAAAAAGTCACCTTGTTTTTGCTGACAGATAGTGCAACACAAACTCTTTGATTTTCTATCCAATATTTATTTTACTACACTCCAAGCTTACAAACAAAAGAAAAGTTTTTAGATGGTATCAACGCTCAAAAAAGTCATAAAATGAAACAATTACAAACCACGTACTATTGCAGTGAGTTTGTAGATTTTTTAGTTCAGTGGCAAGATAAAAAAACTAAAAAATTAGCCAAAGCTTCTTTTTTTTTTTTTTTTTTATTCAAGTTTTCATGCTATATTTTTCTATACAATGTTCTTATATCCGAAGATATTGTTAGCTTAGCATAGGCCACAATAGTCATTAAGACTAATGCAAAGTAGCGTCCGTTATTGACCAACGTTTTTGCGTACTGAAGTACTACTCAAGCGCTGAGTTGGCGGTGGCGGGATTTGAACTCTTATCGTTCAACAGTCCGGGTTTTAACTTTTCCTTTGACACTCTAACCATCTGAGCTATCCCGCCACAAAAACCTTCTTAAACCAAGTTTTCAAAAAATGTTGTTACATTACCTTCTTGCCACGCAGGAGTCAGAGAAAAGCCAGAAATTATTCACTAGTACAATTCTTTCATGAAAAACTGTAAAAATTTCTTAATGAAAGTCTGTGCAATATACGCAATTGTTTTAACAATATCACTTATTGTAAAAGAAGAATCTTTTTGTAATTATTTCAATTTTGCGTTAACAAAATTTGTTGTTTTCCACAGTTTCTAATAGATTTAAATTAAATGCTTGTCACTTTCACATGCAGGCCAGCCAGGAGACTTTGTGATGCCGGGGTCAATTTTTGGTCGGTACCCCAAATTTTGGATTTCTGGGTATATTGAATTAAGCATAAACATCACTGTTTATTATCCTTATGTCTACTACTACATTACAATTTACTGAAAACAATATTTATTTTTGTGTTAAGCATTGTTACACTTGGTACTTGAACTTGGTTAAATACGATAAAAACGAAAACACAAATACAAGTTAAAACGAATGAAATTATATATTTCAGCAAAAAAATGTTAATAATGAAGACTAGTCAGATAACATAAAAATTATATTATCTGACTAGTCTTCTATTACTAATATTACTTTGCGGGCTTTCTTTATTGTGATTCTAAAGATGACATTTTTTACGATAAAGTCTTGGTGAAGTTGTTTTCAATTGAAACCACTATAAGGTTAGAGAGTCGTTCTTCAGTAATAATTGATTGCAATTTGGATTTGATGAGAGCAAGCTTACTGAAAGAGCGCTCTTCTTTAGCTACTGAAACCGGGATTGTAATAAAAATGCGAAACAAAATGCTGATTAAAGGAAATATTGACTGAAAACCTTTCTTGTAGATTCCGTTGAGCAACTTGATAGAAGAAAGAGATTCTATTTTTCCAAAAGGTTTTGATCACTAGAGAACATTTAGATGGCAGATTTCTTTAATCAACTTCTTTACGTAGACTTTGCATTTTTCTTTCTGATTAATGTTTCTTCATCACCAGAAGAAGATGGATGAAAAATGTCCGTTGTCTTTTGAGTTGCATCCATTCTGTTTCTTATCTGCTAAAGTAGCGTGTCAAAAGCTACATTAAGTACGTTTAGCTCAAAAGAAAACTCCTTTATATACATTGGACATTACCAAACAATAATTTTTTACCGAAACTGTACAGTAGCAACAAATTTTATGGCATGCAAATCGATATCAAAAACAAAACTTTGACTAAATTCAGAAAATGCGCCCCAGTTTAAAGAGGGTGCCTAACTAAGTATTTTAATTTTGAAAAATAAAAAGATTAATTTAATTAATAAGAAATGGATCTTTAAAACTTTAATTAAAAATGTAATTAAAAAAAAAAACAAAACATCTATGCTGGGGGTTTTTCAACTGAAATTTATTTAACTGAAATCATGCATTAATTACACGAATTCCCAAAACAAAATAAAGCACGATAGTGCGATTTACATGCAAGTTGTGCGTTTTAAGGTAAGCAAGCATTGACAATTGTTTCAAACAGGTGTGAAGTAAGAAAACAAGAAATATTGCCCTATGATTTCTAGGTTTTTTTTTTTTTTTTAGGTATAATGTTAAAAAATAAGCTAATTTTAGTGATTGTAATTAACTGTTTTCTTTTTCATACAGTTCGTTTGTATTAATTTTTTAGTATTCTCGTATTTTTATTCGGTATGACTACATAAAAATTTTGACTCTGTATCACTATTTATACACAAATTTTATAATCTTGGGTGTCTTTTTTTTTTTTTTTTTTTTTTTCTTATAGGTAATCAAAGGTTCAATCGTATATACATATGTTCATATATATTATAAATAAACATGTTCTGAGAATTATGTTTTCTGTAATGAAAATTTATAAATGGAATATTTAACAAAAATGAATTGTTTCTTAATATTGAAGTAAATAAACAGTTTATCAATAAATCAACATAAAATATGGATCTCAAAAATTCTCAAAGAGAATATGATAGTTCTTGCAAATGCAAAGAAAATGAACAAAATCCACTTATATCACTTGCAATTGCAGCATCAATGGTACCAAGCAATCAACACGATAATTCTTTGCATATTAAGCAAGTAAGTGACAAAGATATTGTTCCTTCAAAAAAAGGTGCAAGAATGAAGGCTTTCCAAGAAATTTGTAATGTTATAGCCCCTGACATAAAGCTATTAAAAAACAAAGAGAATTTTAGCTCAGATGACCAAAAAATTTTTCAAGATTTAACATGTTTAAGTAACAGCTTGAATGTTGAAGCAGAATCTCCTCAAGCAAATTTAATAAATATTAACGAGAAAGAAGAAAATAACTCTACTCAGTTTACTGTGTACAAAAGTACAATAGAGCCAAAAAAACAAAACATTAACATTGAAAACTCTCTTCAGATGAACTTTACTACTCTTAAGCAAAACGAGGGAGAAAATTATGTACAACCAAAAACCTTACCAATTGACAAAAACTTGTTGCGTTCAGAGATGCTGAAAATTTTACCAGATTTATTAAAAGAGCTAAATACAATAGGTTTTGAGTATTATTATAATGATTTAAAAAAATTAATAAATATTTAATTCTATTTGTTTATTATTTGTTTGTTTATTTGTTATAATTTAATAGGTATTTCGTACAAAAATGAAAATTGTCAAACAAGCATACCAAATGAGCACATGGCAGTATCTTTAATACATCATACACCTTTAAACAATACTCAGCCAGAAATTTCTGATACTAATCATCATGACAAACTGTTTAATATTAATCAAGAAAGATGTCAATCATTAATCACTTTTAAAGATGTCAATCAAAATAATTCATTTTGTCAATCAAAGGTGGTTTATTTTAATTTATCTGATTTTATATATATATATATATATATATATATATATATATATATATATATATATATATATATATATATATATATATATATACATATATATCGCTACTGATTTGGCAACAACACGTAACTGACAATCAATACATTTTTCAGGAGCAATTAAAAACTAATTTATTTCTGTTTAAGACATTATTAGGTAATATTTTTAATTCATAGTTTTACTTTCAGAATCTGAAAGTAAAACTATATGAATTAAAAATATTACCTAATAATGTCTTAAACAGAAATAAATTAGTTTTTAGTTGCTCCTGAAAAATGTATTGATTGTCAGTTACGTGTTGTTGCCAAATCAGTAGCGATATACATACATATAAGTATACATATATACATATATACATGTATATATTAGGGTTATGACTTTTTATCAATCCCATGCTACTGTACTGTAGTTTGATGAACTTTTACCTAATAAGCATGAAATGAACTATTATTTGCATATCTTCTCAAAAAAGCTCACCCCGCCATTGAAAAATTAATTTTGACATAAGTACTATGTATTATAATTTATTTATAATGTCATAGTCATGTAATACAATAAATTTTCAATCCAACAATGACTCAGACCGTTGACTTTGCTCTTGCTTGTTGCACAGATGGAATCGAAGGTGCAATTTGTCTTTATTTTTTCATGATGAATAAGTTTCCTCCATTACTTTGATTGCGCATTCTGCAAGTTGATTACTTCTGGGTATCTGTAGTATGGATGGCTCTCGCTGATTTTTCAAAGAGCTTAAAGTCATATTTGTGGTTATAACTCTCTCTCAACTCTATAACTCCGAAACACAAACCTTGACAAACTCGGCTGCTGCACAGAGAAACGAGTTGAGCGTGGTATTACCAGGTATGTGGTGGGGATTGAACTCAGAACCTCTCGCTTATAAAGAAAGTGCTCTACCACTACACCACTACCGCATTTTCACTCAAGTTGTTAGTTGTTTTCGTTGTACAGTTAGTCTGTAAACCAATGGTCTGCTCTGCCATACAATATAAATTGACATTCTTTGTTGAAGGAATTAAAATGAAGGCCAGGATAGCCAGTATAGTTCTAGAGAGTTCTACCTCAAATTGCTGATGTTGGATATTTTCTGAAACCTGATCAATGGAATATGTCCCTTTTCCTCAAAAAATCGGAACACTCGAGTAAGATGAAACAAAAACTTCATGTCATCTCTCCAGCCTTATGTTTCGAGAACTACTTTTGTTCTGTTATCAAACTGTATTTTCAGTTGTTCATACTTGTTCAACAGTTGAGATACAAATGAATATTCAATGTTTGGCAATTGTGTTTTACTTCTAAGTTCTTTATCCATCACCAAACGGAGGATTCTATCTAATACATGGTGTTGACAACTGATAAACTGAGTTTTGTTGATGCGTTTTTCTGCGATCATTTGTTGCAATATTACAACAACACCATTCTTTTTTCCAGTGTTAACTCTAGTGGTATCTGCAAAAATCATCTGTATTCAATTCTATAGGTGAAATTAATAGAGGACTTTAGAAATTCTTTGAGCAATAGTTAAAGCCCTGCCATCTACCAAGCCAAGGACATCCAATTTGATTTCTCTTCTTTCATTTTTAAAGACAACCACTTGAGAATCCATTCTGTCGATGTGCTTGCCATCAAAGTGTAAGGACCAAGTTTTCATATGCAACTTTTCAATAATTTCTTCCTTCTTGATTACCTCTTTGATTGTTGACTTGTAAAAAGCTGATTGACATGGAGTAGGGATGTCAATGCCTTCACGAGCCAATTGTTTGCTTATGTTAGCAGCTTTGTTTGTTGATACTTTTGTGGAGGTTACCAAGTTGACTGCAATTTTGCTTTTATGATGTTTTTTGCTTGGTGTAGGAGTTGTCTTATCTTCTTCATTGTTTTCATATTAACTGTTGTCAGTCTCAGAGTCAGAATCACTAAAACCAGGATAGTAAGATGATGAGTTGGATGACTCATTAGAAAGTTTTTGTCTTTTAAAGGGATGGATCGTTTTTTTAATGGCTGCTTTACAGCCAAAATATTTTTAATTGTTCTAGAATGTTCTAAAGTCTTCTAAAGTATTATGTTATTTTCTAAAATGTTTTAAAGTTCTAAACACTTCTAATCTATACAAATTTTAATTGATTTGCAGCAAAGCCACATGTATTAGCAGTAGCAGTAACAAGATTAAATATATGACGAAACATTTAAATTGCGAGGTGACCTTTTTTTTTACAACCGAGAGGAATTGAACATGTTTTCTAATAAAAGTTCATCGATTTATTACACAGAAAATAATTTTTTTTAAAAAAGTCAGAAAGTCATAGCCCTAATATATATATTTATAAATATATGTATATATATATATATACCTACAGGGCCTATTCTAGGAAAAAATTTGGGCAGCAGTACCCCTCCGTCCCAGAAAAATTTAGCGGAAATTCTGCATTTTTTCACAAAAAAATATATATATTTGACGTAAAAAATGTAAAAAAAAAAAATTCAGTCGTCGTTGCTCAAATTCAGTCGTCGCTGTCGTAAACGGTCTAGAATAGCCCCTGACATATATTATATATATATATATATATATATATATATATATATATATATATATATATATATATATATATATATATATATATATATATATATATATATATATATATGTATATATATATGTATATATATATGTATATATATATATATATATATATATATATATATATATATATATATATATATATATATATACATATATATATATATATGCGAAAAAACTTAAAGCTAAATAAATTATATTTGGAACAAATATTTTCGAAACATTGCTCTTTTATAATTTTTTTTAAAAAATTAGGCGATGTTTTTTTATATAAAGTAACAACTTACGATTGTTTAAGGGAAACAAATAATCTTTATTTAACAAAGTTTGTAAGTTTTGGTTTCTATAAGCTAAATTATTTTATAAATAAAAAAGTTAATTTTTTTAATTCCTTGTTTATGTTTCGCGTAATTTAAAAAGTTTAACATATTTAAAATAATTCTTCTTAGTAAGATAAACAAATGAAATAATTAAATCATTGAATTACTATAGAAATTAAATTATCAACTAGATAGAACTAGATAGAAATCAACTAAAAAGGTTAAAAATACTTAATAACCAGGAAGCGAAACTGCTTTACAATATCGCTGATGATGTTTAGTGAGTGGGCTTTAAAATTTTAATTAGTATTTAAAGCAGAAAAAAGTATAACAAGTTTTAAGAATGGCAACTTAAGCGAAAATAATTAGAGTTAGTAAACCAAAATCTAGAAACTTTTCTTTATATCTAATTATTTGCTATATATATTTGTGTTCTGTCCTGACCTCAGGCGCTGTGCTTGTTCATCCGCGAGTTACTTTGTATGGCGTTGTTTGTGTTTAGTAACCAGAAACTTCTTATATGTTTGTTACATAGTTGGTTTTATTCACTTTAACGATTATAACTTCATTGAAAACGCAATTATTTTTGTAAATCTTATTTTAAATCATAAAAATTGCTTTAAAAGATACATAACGATAAAAAACAAATATACAAAATTACATTTACATAAAGAATACAATCTCCTTTTAAATAAAAAATAAGAATATACTAATAAAATCTATAATTTATAATAAACTTTTAAGAATTTAATAATAAAATTTTGACAATTTAATTAATATATATTTAAAACATTTATTTTTGTAAACAAATAATATATAATCTTAAAACAATGCTAGAAATCTCAAAACGTAACAAATCGTGAATAATACAATTTCTATAACATTTCAACAGAATACTCTAAAACTTTATTTCGCTTAATCAGCGTATTTTTTGAACCAATAGAATTAGTTTGTTCGTTAATTTGGCAAGATGTTTTGAGAACATCTTGGTGCGAAAGTTTTTTATGTTTCCATGTTTGTCCGTAAAACAAAAGTTTTTTGTTTTGTACATAAACTTAAATGTTCTCAAAAGGACTAAAAAACCTGGCCAGTTTTTCGCAACTAAATATAATTTCCGTGGTCAGTATTCGAAAGCGATCGCTCCCGCTTCCCGACCAAGCCAGATATATATATATATATATATACATATATGTATATATATATACATATATATATATATATATATATATATATATATATATATATATATATATATATATATATAATATATATATATATATAATATATATATATATATATATATAATATATATATATATATATATATATATATATATATATATATATATATATATATATATATATATATAATATATATATATATATATATATATATATACATATATGTATATATATATACATATATGTATATATATATATATATACATATATGTATATATATATATATATATATATATATATATATATATATATATATATATATATATATATATATATATATATATATCAGGCTTGGTCGGGAAGCGGGAGCGATCGCTTTCGAATACTGACCACGGAAATTATATTTAGTTGCAAAAAACTGGCCAGGTTTTTTAGTCGTTTTGAGAACATTTAAGTTTATGTACAAAACAAATCCCCTTTTTGGTTTCCTTTTGAAAAAAATATATCATTTTTTAAAAAAGTTTAAGTAATCATTTCTAAAGAATTCTTTTTACAATAGTGTCAGCAAATTACACAAATGTGTGAAAAATTGCAGTAGTTAAGACATGTGACTTCCTGTAATTTAATTTTTGGTATAAATTAAAGTTTTATTAATTTGATCATTCATTTCTGATGAGTCTTTATTGATGAAACACAGTGTTAAATGAGAAAAAAATTTGCTAAGTGATTTTCTACTACTTTGTAGTTGCTCTGTTCTTTTAAGAACATTGAGCACTCTTTTTGTAGAATACATTTTAAGTTGTTTATATATATATATATATATATATATATATATATATATATATATATATATAT